GTATTTATGCTTGGTCCGTGATTGCATCTCTGATTCTAAGCCAGCACCAAAAGATTCATTCTTGTCTTCCTCTGTGCTTGTTTGCAACATCTTTCTCCAACAGTAGGAAATCTACAATTTATTTATTGGCTTCTTTAACCCTTGTTTGCATGTAACACAGTCTTTCAGAATTGTTAACTCTTAATGAGAAACACGGTTAACGTTTGGGCTACAGTATTTAGGTACCTATCTGTTTGTCTTTATCCAGTGAAAACACTATTTTCTCTGTATGTTTAGATGAGCAAGTCTTTCCCCAGTCCTTCAGTGTGGCTGTACTGTAGCTTGTAGCTAGTTAGGTCTTCTTGTCACAGTTTCATTTCCCTCCTGGGGTCCTCCAACATTCTGGCTGAGTTTTTTTCACACAATGTAATTCAGCATCTATGAGATATTGGCCTATGGTTTTGACAAACACAAGAAGTCATTGTCTACCACTCCAGTACCATAGAGAACAGGTACGGTGACCTGAAACTTCTCTTACGTCTTATGTGCTCCTTTTGTGACAAATCCTTCTCCAACCCCTAGAAACCACTGATCTATTTTCAATCACCATAGTTTTGCCTTCTCCAGAATGTTGCATAAATAGAATTATATGTGTCTTTTGGGTCTAGCTTTTTTCACTTAGCAAACTGCATACAAATCATCCATTTGTTGTGAAAATCAAAACATGTCCCTTTACTGCTGGGTATGGATATAATAGAGTTTATTTTTACATTTCTCTGCTGAAGGACATTTAGTTGCCCTCAATTTTTGGTGATTTTTAATAAAGCTCTTATAAATACTGGTACCAACTTGTTTTTGGTGAAGGTAAATTTTTGATTCACTTGGATAAAGACTTCAGCATATGATCATTGTTTTGTTGCTAAGTCTAAATTCAACTCTCGAGCAACTGACCAGCTGCTTTCTGAAGTGCCCGAGCCCTCTCTCATTCCCACTAACAAGGAAATCCAGTGCTCTTCCTGCTCCGCAGCCCCTCACCATGTGGTATCGCCTCCTCGATTTTAGCAGTTCTGATTGGCGTTGAAGAGACATCGAACTGTGGTTTTGACTTTCACTCCCTCAGTGACAAATGATGCGAGAATATATGCATTGTGTATATCATGATTAAGTGTCTGTTCAGATAGTTTGCCCATTTTTAGTTGGGTTGCTTATTGCTGAATTTAAGAGTCACATATATGGCTTAACAGGAATGTATTTATAAGTATATAAGAAGAACATGTAAGTATGTATTTATAAGGCTTTCTTCATACTTGCCATTTCTAATATTTCTCCCAAACTGTGGTTACTTTTCATTTTAACAGTGTCTTCCAAACAACAAACGATTTAATTTTGATAAAGTCCAATTAATCTTCTTGGTGGACTGTGCTTTTTTGGGTATTGTATCTAAAAATTCACTGCTAAACCCAACTTCCTGAAGATTCTCATGCTTACCTAGAGAAGCATTATTGTTTTAGTTTTCACATTTTGTTTTATATAAGCTGTGGGGTGTGTATCCTGCATGTGCTTTGTTTAGCCTTGGTTGCTGTTTTGCACAGACAGTGCCATTGATCCAGTGTGATTTGTTGAAAAGACTGTCATTTTCCCATTGATTTTCATTTATATCTTCAGGAAACTTCAGCTGGCTACGTTTGTGGGTTATTTCTGGGTTCTGTGTCGTAGTCTGTCAACCTGCATATTTGTTTTTCTGCCCAGTTCCCCTCCTCTCAATCACAACAGCTCGGCACTGTTTCAAAATCAGGTACTGTGGATCCTCTTGTTTGGTCCTTTTCTCAGAATAGTTTTAACTCTTCTGATCTCTTTGCTTCCCATAAATATATTTTAGGATCATTCCACTGATCTTTTCAAAGCAACTTTCTGGGATTTTGGTCTGGGGTTCCACTGATTTTGGATGTGCAATCTCCAAATAATACCGAGTCTTCAAATCCATGCACACGATGTATGTTTTCAGTTTGTGTAGACTTTCTTTGATTTTTCGTGTTTTCTATTCATCAGTGTGCAGACCCTACACATATTTCATTCAAGTACTTCACTTTTCATGTGCTCTTGTAAAGTTTGAAGTTCAATTTTCGATTAAAGGTATATAAAATATGAATGCCTTTCCTATGTCTATTACCTCATATCTGCTAACTCGTGAAACAGGTGTTCTGAAGAAGAAAACTATACTCTGGCCTTTTTTCACTGATGAGCAAAATCTCCTCCTCAAAGCACTTAGAAAAAGGTATTCAAGGGATAAACCTACACGTTTTCTCATATTATACACACTTCTCTGGAAGAGACCCACAAATAGCTCCCATGCCTAAGAAAAGAGGGTCAGGCCCCTGAAATGAGAAAAACAGAGATTGCAGCTGTCCTGAGGTCACCTGCCCCATCTCTCAGGCCCTCAGTCACGAGCAATTAGGCAACACAGGTGCTGGGGGCAAAACCCACGGGTCTGTGTGCTCGGCAGGGTGGTACCGTCCAGTGAAGCACACAGTGCTCTGTCCCAGCAATTCATTTCACTTCCAGAAATCTGCCCTACAAGTATTACTGCAAAGCTCAAATAATGCATGTAGAAGATTTTGAAGTGAATGTTTATATCACAAAATGAAATAAATTGAATATGTCCTGTAATGCTATATCTGCACAACACATTATGTAGACTTAAAGTGAATTTCAACAAAATTTCTACTAATGGCAGATGGGATTTGGGAAATAAATTAGTAGTAAAGTGCAACCAACAATTTCCTATTTAGATCAGTATATCTCAATTAGAATTAAGTTCAAGTGTGGCGTTAAATCCAAGAATGCAAATAAATGGACCTGGCAACCATCCTTTTAATAACTGGTTCACCAAGTCTCACACTGGTTTTCCCAAAAAAAGAAAAGAGTATGCTGATCTCCTCCAAAATATCATACTAAAAACACTTTAACTGTAGCAAAGAAGTGTTGTGCTCTTAATAACAATTTAAACATTAATTTCACTTCTCCTTCTTCAATCTGTGGCCTTGTAAATGTTTACGATTTGGGTAGTGTATTAGTAGAGAAGTGTGAGTCTGTGGGGTGTGATTCAGCACGCACCTGCCGGAGGTTCGCAGTCCTCCTTGGTGGGACTTGTGATGCTCTGGAGAAGAGCCCTTGGGCGGGAGGCCCCTGGCCAAGTTCTGTAGCGAAGAAGGCTGCTACAGGGGTAGAGCAGGAGGGGCTCCCTGTAGGTCTTACCTAACTCACAAGTGTGGAATTACAATGTCAGGAGTGCAAGACGCTGTGGCTTTTATGTGCTAAGATGTAGGATTCTAGAACCTCTCGGCAGCTGGAAGTTAAGGAGCCCGGAATTCTGCTTTTTCTGAGCTCTAAACAAAGGTCCTTGAGCTAGGGAAGGATCGGGGCTGCTCTGCAGGAAGCACCGCAGGGATGGCTCTCGGGGGTGAGCTGCTCATCAGTCACTGATTGAGTAAGTGGGGCGGGTTTAACCCACAGAATCACCCGGGGAACCAGTTCCGGGCAGGCAATAGGAACCCACTTTTTCAGTAATATCAAAGCCACTCCGACAAAGCTACATGTTCCCACGAGTAACCAATGACGCCCCTAGCTTGAAGTGTACCAAGCCTGATGCTTGGGTTGTCCGCTGCTGTGGCTTCTGCTCTGATTGCTGGAGACCAACAAGATTCCAAGGGAGAGGCTGAAAATGAATCTTAGTTGTAAGCTCTGCGTCCCAGGTCTTGTTTATGTGCGTCTTGGTGCCTAGCATGATGCTACAGGCCTGGAAATGGCTTGCTTTTTCTATGAAGAGTCAGACAGTGAGTATTCTAGGCTTTGGGGTCAGCTGATACAGCTACTACTCAGCTCCTGCCTGCACAGGAGAGCAGCCCAGCAGTGAGTTACTGCCACGTGGCCAAGGCATCTTCCCAAGAGAACTTGGAAGCGCAGGCCTGCGGTGCGGGCCTTGCTAGGCACAAGTATGTTGTTTCCTCACTGAGCAGGGGCTCAGACGCCTCCACCAGGATGCTCTACTTTGACCTTCCTGTTTGTAGCCCAGCCCCTCAGTTGGTCCTCCAGTGCCAAAAGAGAAATTAATAACTTGAGAAGTCTCTAGGCAGGGACAGAATATGCCCTTTGATGAAAATCTGCATAAATCCTGAGTTCCTCAAAGGAAAGCTCAGTTTGCCCTCTCCCTGGCAAGGCTGTGGTATCTGGGGAGACCTGTCACAGTGAGAGGGGAGGAGCTTGTTGCAAACAGCAGCCCCCAAGCCATGGAGCCCTTGCTCCTGCCCCACCCTGAAGGAGGCCTCTGTACCAGTCCCTCTGTCTCCACCCAGCCTTCTCCTCCCGTGACCCAGTGCTGTCTGTCCCTCACTCTCTAGTCTGATGCAGGCTGATAGGGAGCCCATGTGGCAGTGGTGGGAGAACCCAGAAAAGCCATGCATTCACAAACAACATAAGACAAAAGACGTATTTTTGAAGCAATGCTCCCACATTTGAAAAAGCATCAGGAAAGGAGAATAGAAGAAGGAACAGGGCTCCCACTTTCTCCCTGCAGGGTACCCCCAGATCTTAAAGTTGTTCACACAGGGCCACATCTATGCGATCTCTGGCAGCAGTGGAATGTGAGCTTCTATGTACATGGCCTGTGCTTCTCCTGAAGCTGTTATTTCCTATCCAGAGTTAAAATGGGAGTCTAGCGCCCCTGTGACTTCTACCTGGATTTCAATAAAGAAGGGGTCACGTCCGCTTTCCTGATTCGGGGAGATATGTGGGGAAGAACCGGGGCCTGCAAACATCTTCTTCCCTGTGCAGAGCTTGTACGGCAGAAGTGTTCTTCCTTCCCTCCCTCATGGTGCGCCTGCGGGACTGGAAGTGATGGGAAGGACTTTGGTAAGGCTGTGCCCACCCTGGCTGCTAGATTCTGAAGTTCCCACAAGTGGCAGGTGTGATCATGGGCTACATCGAGGTTACTTAACTGCTCTCCCTATCTCTGACAGATTCTGCTCCAAACAGCCTTGAGGATGAAGGCCAGCGGGGTCCTGGTCCTGACTGGCTGCCTGGCCATGGTCACAGAGACCCGAATCTACACCCGCTGCAAACTGGCAAAAATATTCTCGAGGGCTGGCCTGGATAATTATGGAGGCTTTGTCCTTGGCAACTGTGAGGTTTCTTCCTCCCTGTTCTCTCCTCTGAGATGCTGTGGGTCATAGCCACAGCTGTTCTAGCTTTTACATGCACGGGCCCGCGAGGGCTGCGCCAGGCATCACATGTTCTCAACTGCTGCTCTTGTCTCTGCTCCCGCTCTTGGGGTCCTCATGTCCCGACTCCTGCAGTCCCCACTTCTGACACCAGCTAGGGAGGAGGAAAACAAGGCCGCCCCACTGGCAGTGTGGGGCACAGACCCGACTTCCAGTCCTGAAGAGGCTCAGCCCAGGACTTGGGGTGCGACATCCAGCGTGGCATCCCTGCCCCTCCCCTCGTGTGTCCCAAGTGGGTGCCACCTGCACTGCCCCACCCCAGGGACTCCTAGGAGGAGGCATCTAGGGAACACGAGAAGAGAATCCGCCGCTGTGCTGGGTGGGCATGGACGCACCAGGCATTTCCCTCCTGAGCTCTGGCTTCCGCCGCCTGGCCGCAGGGATCTGCATGGCCTACTATGAGAGCCGCTACAACACCACGGCCCAGATGGTCCCGGACAACGGCAGCACCGACTACGGCATCTTCTGGATAAACAGTTTCACGTGGTGCAGGGACGAGAAGTCCCAAGACAAGAACCACTGCCACGTGGCCTGCTCAGGTACGGCTTTGATTTTCCAGTTATCCTCAGGAAAAGGGAGAGCACTGCCCATGTGTTTCTGCTTTGACCGAAATTCAGAGTTCAGATTCACAAGCACATCTGTCCTGCATGTAAGTTTTCCAGTAGTCCCCAAAGTGACCCGACCCTGTGTCCTAGTGTACAAAGGTGACTCACTCCTTCCCCGTGGCTGTCAGCCATCCGCAAAGACTGGCACGGACAAATGAGCTAACTGCCTGGTCCCCTGGAGGGATGTTGGGGTTTCCATTGGGAAGGAGGAAGCCCTTCACCAGCAGCTGTGCATAAACCATTCCTTCGAAGGATGCTGTCTGTGCTTTTCTGTGCAGACTGAGACAAATGCACACGCTACGTTTTTAGCAGTCAGACGAGAACTCCCTTCCAACCCCCCTTCCATGTCAGTCATGGGAGTCCAGCCCTGAGTGTGCATGGCTGCCGTGGGCTGCAGAGCAGGGGTGTGAGAGCCGCTGACCAGGCGGGACATAGCCAGGGGCAGACGGGCATTTGTCTCCCTCTAGAGACAGAGCTTTTTCTGTTTCATCCACTTGATGCGTCCTCAGTGCCCAGAATGGCGCTCGGCCATTGTGTGTGCTCAATAAACATTTATCAAATACCTGGGTGGAGGGAATGAGAGACAGTAAGTAATAAAGCGAGGCATTGAATATATTCTATGGCAAAATTCTCTGGGAGCGGGAAATAAACTGTTTTACCTTCTCTCTGCCACGTAAAAGATAGTCAATATCTATGTTCGAATGTCTGAGTTGTTACAGGTCGTTAGTGTATCTAGAGTGGTGGCGCTCTCCTAAGGTGGAGCACCCCGTGTTCCATCAGTGCTTCGTGGAGACCTTCCTCTTGCTGGGCTAGAATCTGTATCCTTACGGCTTTCTTTCTTCAATCTTAGTTTTTCCCTTGTGAATTCATTCAACACAAATTTGCTCCATTTTATGCATACACACGTACTAACTGTTTGCAAACCATTCCTGCTTCTCATCCCCAGTTCCTCAGTATCTCCTGTGCTGGAACAGTGAGTGTTGCTCACTTTTCTGCGGGTTTGGCTTTTCAACCCTGCCTGGTCTTTTTGTTTGTTTTGGGACAGTGTCTCACTACCTTGCCCGGGCTGGCCTTCAATGTGCTATTTAGCCCATGCATACTGGCCTCAAACTTGTGATCCTCCTGCCTCAGCTTCCCAAATTCACGATTACAGGTGTGCTGCCCTGCCTGTCTTGGTCCACGTCGGGAGTGTTCCCTAGGAACTTTTCCGTAGGGACTTCTACTTAAATATGGTGATTAGATGGGGCATCAACCTGCAGGCAGGGCTGAATAGGACCACACCAGTGTCTGCTCTCCAACCCTCACATCAACCCTCACATCGAGACCCTCACATCGCTACAGGGTCTCTGCAGACCTGACCAGAGCTGCTGAGTGGGGGAACAGAGGTGTTTTCTTGGGCAATGAAGATGGACCAGCCTAATCACATGAGCCTCGTAATCACACAGCCCTGCTGTGGTCACAGTGACGCAAGAAGGACAGACACCAAATGTCAGAGACTCGACTCGACTCCCACTGTGAGCAGGGGAATGGGGGCAGCCTGTAGACGCTGGGGATGGGGGGCCAGGGTCTCAGTCCTGCAGCCACAAGGAACTGATTCCCCACAGCCCAACTAAGCCAAGAAGTGCATGGTCCCCCAAAGCCCTTGGAAAGCAAAGCACCGACACCTCGGTATTTGCTGTGTGCGTCCTTGTCACTCTCCCAACCCGCACAGCCCCGAGGAAGCTCTGTCCTGTCTGTGCCTGCGTCTGTGAAGTTTGTTCACAAATCCGCCTCCCCTCTGTCTCTACCCTGCCACACACAGTGTCTGGCGTGGGTTCCGTGTGAGGCAGGGCGATTTCTCTGGCTACTGATCACAGCTTCACCTCCAGGACCAGGCGGCCCCACTGGTGTGGCTTCCAGAGAGTGCGTGACGTGGCGGGACTGGGTGTCACGTCCTGAACCTAGCAGCAGAGAGGGTCCCCTGGCCCCTTTCCCCGAGACCCAAGGAGCTCCCAGGGGTCCCTGGCATTCCAGTACCCCAAGTTTTAGAAGCAAGTCCAATTAAGCAGCAGTGGGACCTCGGGATTTCCCTTCCTACCACCCGCGCCCCCACCTCTGGCAGAACTCGGGACTCTCCTCCAGACAGAAAGAAGCGCGAGGTCTCTCAGCCGAGACAGTTCCAGAGAGACCGAGATTAGGGCCCCAGAGCCTGGCTAACTGCTCTGACCCAGGCCCCAGGGTGAAGCAGCCGGGCTCTCTTCTCGGAGAGGTTTTCTGGGCCAGGGAACTGGGCCAGGTGAGAAGGAAGAGTAACTAACGGCTCCAAATGTAACTCCAGTAAAGCAGGCCAGTCCGACTTCTGGACATGAGACCAGTTTAAAATCCTCACCTCTGCACAGAGCCTCACCAGCCCCGGGGTCCTCTCCATGTAGGTGAGAATTCTCCAGGGGCCCAGAGAATGAGACTCACATGAACAGGTGAGACTGGAAAGCGGAGCTTGGACTGGGAAGTGAGAATTTCAGATCCCACCCAAGACCATCAGTATTGGTAGATAGATAAGAGAGAAGGTATCGATGGAGTAAAAATAAGATCCACTTCTAAAAGAAGAAACAGAGCAAAATTAAAAGGTCACAATGTTCTTAAAAGCTTTCGAAGAAATGGAAAATAGGAGAAATAAGAATAAAAAAAGAATGGAACTGAAATTTACCAATTTCAGCCAAGGAAAAGAGAAACCACAGAATGAAACCTTTAAAAAAAATTTTCCCAGAACTTTGGGAGGCTGATGCAGAAGAATTTTAAGTTCGAGTCCCACCTGGACGACTTAATGAGATCTTGTTTCAAAAGAAAAACTCTGGCCCTCATCTTAATATTTAAAGTTAACTTCTTATTGCTAGTGAGTAGCTGTGTGGCTTTCTGTATTCATCCTGACAACCACAGCTTTTCAATGAGATGAGGTAATAGGTTAGTGAGCCTTTTCCTACAGGGACACATAGTAAATATTTTATGCTTTTCAGGCCACAAATTTTTGTTGCAACCACTCTAGCATGATGTGGTATGGAAACAGCCACAGAAAATATGCAAGTGACTGTCCTGCCTGTTGACTAGTGAGGCTTTATTGTAAAAAATAAGCTTTGTGGGTCATAGTCTGCTGACCTTCATTTAGACCCTTTGTCTATGTGTAATGTGATTGCTATGCTACGCCTAGCTTTTAAGTCACCCTGCTGTTTGTTTTCTAATTCTACAATCTATCCCTAGTGCTATCTTTCCCTGCCTTTTAAATTAGGTAAATTTACTCTGTATTTTTCCATTTTCTTCCACTGGCCTATTAAGTAGATGTCTTCCTTTTCCCCTCTGGTCCTGGGGATCGAACTCAGGACCTTACATTTTTGAGGCAGGAGCAGAGCCACTGAGCTAAACCCCCCGCCTGTCTGATTTATTTTTAATGCACTTAATCTGCGGTTTACAACAGACCTCATCCCTAACTGCATCGAGTCTCAGCCATGTACAGCTTCACACGTGAGGTGTGAGTTCCATCCCTGTGATGTCAGCTCACCCACTCACCCTGATGCCAAACTGCCTTTTTACTTCTGCAGCTTTTACATATCTTGCGGTGCATTTGATTATTTTTGCTTTAAACAATTATCAGACTGGGCAATTTTTAAAGTGAGGAAAATAGTTTTGCTATATTTATTTTCATCAGATTCACAATGTCCTACATTCTGCATTCCCTTGGTGACTCTTCTGGGCAGGAATTTAGATGGTACCATTTTCTCTCAGCCTATGGAACTTCACCATTTTTGTTCAACTAGAGGTTTGCTAGTGAGCATTCTTGGATTTTGTTGACCTGAAAATGTCTCTGTCTCATTTTCATTGTTGAGTATAAATAAATTCTGGGCCAGTGAGGTTTGTTTTCCTGTATCTGTTGCCTTCCAGTTTGCCTCATTAAGATGAGAAGTCAGCAATTTCCTCATTTTTATTTCCTATATGAATCATTTTTCCTTCAGCAACATTTAAGATTTTTTTCTATGTCACTGATTTTAGCAACTTGAATAGGTATGGAATTGGTATTTAACTTCCTTGGTATTCACTAACACTTGCGCTCCTTGAGTTTGTAATCTTTTACTAAATTTGGAAAAAAAATTTCTTTGTTAGGATTCTAATGACACATACATTGAATTGTCGATGTTTCCTACAGGACGCTGAAGTTCTTCATGTTTTAGTGTTTTCTGAGACTATCAGTGTTTTATTTTCAATAATTTCCATTGCTACATCTTCTCGTTTTCTAATCTTTTTCCAGAGTGCCCTCTCTATTAAACCTATTGGTGAGATGTTACATTTCAGATATCATTTTGCAATTCAGTATCAGGTGATTTTTATATCAACTATCTCATGTTATTCAGAGTTGTTTTGAACTCGTTTGTTATTTTGCAGTTCGGTATAGCCGAGGTGCTGGCAGAGCTCGGCTAGATCTATGCCGAGCCCCTCGCACAGCAGAAACGGAGTTGTCAGCAGATGATTTCAGTATTCTTCTAAGTCCTTTCAGTCTGACACGTTACTCAGGTTTTCAAGTAGCTGATATAACGTGCATATTTATCAGCATATTTAACTTTCTTACCTGCTAACTTGATAAACTTTTTTCTGTGTATTTCCATTAACCAATATTTCTTCTGATTGTGGTAATAGTTTCACTGACTTCTGGACATAGTGTATGTAATATTGTTGAGAGCCTAGATTATGTCTCTTTCTTAAAGAATGTTGGATTTTATTTCGGCAAGCAGTTATGTTCCTTCTCATCAGCTTGGCCCTTACACTTCTCAGGGCAGTTCTAGGGTGCTCTTTCCTGCTGGGCTACTTTGGTCCTACTACCAAAGCATGACTCAGTGTCTCTTTTCCACATTCTAGGGGCTGTGGAAGGGCTCCTCCTCTGGCTACTCAGAAGCCAAGCATCTCCCAGG